GCACAAGGTGGCTACGGGTCAGTACCGACTCGATGGCACTTAACAACAACAATGTACCCTAAAAAATACAACTGGTTTTTAAAGTAAAACCTTCAATGAGTTAAAAAAACCAACAACCGTCTTGTTCATTAGACATTCTGGATGTTACAGAACACACCTCCTAGGACGGAGCCCTCGGCAAACAAGTGGGATTGCTGTACGCCCCGCAGTCACCTAAGAGTGAGAAGAGCTCTGTCCCACAACTCACTCAGCGTTTTCAGGGACTCGGAAGAGGCCCATCTCCAAATCCATGGGGGCATTTTCTCGGCAGTACTCAAGATGCCTACTTGTTGATGGCTTATCAAAATTCACTGTTTTTAGGGTAACAGGTTCTGCATGCATCTGTTCCCTAAAAGGAATCCAAGGACTCCTTCTTAAAAGCATATGATTTCCCTTTGAAGACTAAATCTGTAAGTTGCATTTTCTTTAATATCCAATGGCTTCCTATGTAGCACCATTAGAAACTTTCGTTCATAAGAGATCTGTATAACAGCTGAAACTGAATCGATTGATGCACGTTAACTGGTTAAACACAGTGAGTCTACCCACACTTGGATTTTCAGAAAATGTAGCTTACAGCGGCACTTCTTACAAAGATTCCCAGACATCACTCAGAATCAGAGAACAACTCTTGAAAATGAGAAAACCAGACCCAAGAATGGATTTGAACCACCACCATTATTTCCCCTGAGATAGCAAGTGGAGTAATTCGATTTGGGAAAGAAAATGCTGACTGCAAAGTTGCATAACAGGGCAAGACCTGGAGCTGGCATTGAGACACGATCTTACACAATAATCGGTTTGACACACATCAAAGGTGTCCTCTAAAAAGTTCATATTAATATTTCAAAATAGCAATCCAGAAGGAGTGGAGGAAATGTACTACAAAACACGAGAACTTTCAAAAAGACCTATCAGTTCTTCCAAATCCACCACACTTTAGCCCATTGGTCTTCTCCGCTGGTTTGGACAATCCATTCTGAGATCACCATAATTGCAGCTTTTTTTGCTTCATGGCAGAGTTCCACGACAGGACCTTTGGAGCCTCTGGTGGGTTCCTCCCACCGCCACCACTTACTAGGTCCTGTGACCTTGTGTCTCCACGTGGCTTCACCTTCCCGCACTTACAGGATAACATGAGCACAACACGAGGCCATGCAAGCTGGAAGCACGGAAACCCAGGCTGCTTGCCTTCACCGTCTTGTGCTGCTATGAGAGGAATGCCACAAGTCGGGCGTCCATAGAAACGGATATTCTCAGACTAGGAGGCTAAAGTCTGAATCTAGGGCACCAGCTCCAGGGGACTGCTGTCTCCGTCACCTCGGGGGGCGGGGGGAGTCCTAGTCTCTCTCAGCTTCAGTTGGTTCCAGGGCTCCTTGGAGACGTTTATTTGGAAGTGAACTATGGACTGAGACTCCCCCCAACAAAAGCTCCAGGCACTAAAGCTCCAGGGGCTCCCTGGTTGGTGGAGTCAGTCAGGGCAGTGCACTCATTCTTGGGACACAGAAGCTTCAAGGTTGGAACCCTGCCCCCAAGACCTGGCACAGAGAGAGAAGCACTGCACAGGTGGCTGGTATTAGAACCGAACTGATCAGAACTT